ACTTCAGTTGCTTAAAACCGAATCTGTCTTGCGGGTTTACTATCAGCTGTTGCGGCACAAATCGATCAAGACAAAGTCCTGCAAAATGATTATTTTGCTCCTTATTATGGATATAACTTGGAAATTTTATGGATGACAGGAGGCGTAATATGCTATAATATGGTAGAAAAGAAAATTAAAATGTAAGATGTACGAAATTTAGCTTTAAACTAAATAAGAGAAGCTGTTCAGACCGATTATTCAGTGCAAATAAATATTTAAACCCTCATTTGAATGTAAAACTTTATTTTTTCCGATAACGATTTGTAACCCATTTTTCGAAGGTTTCTCGATAATTAGTCCTTTCCTTCATTGGTGGATGCAATCCCTGACAACCATCGGATATTCGATTAACAATTTCTCTACCAGCAGGAAGTAAAAAGAGTTTACATCGAAGGGCACCAGTTTTTTATTGACTGAAATTTAAATTTTGGCTGAGAAGAAGTCGTTTACTTTGAAAACTTTCTTTGTCTGGCACAAGAGCAAAACACTACATTAATTCTAACGAAGAAAATATACCCACTTCTAACACAACACATCTTTTAAAGTATAGGTAATCACATAATTTCGAGTGCATTTTGGAAAAAATAAGAACGAGTAACAAAATTCCAATTTGCAATTTGTGCATGAAATTCAATTTGCAATTTCTCTGCATGGAATTACCTGAAAACTGCATCTTAACCAATCAGAACTGAGTCATTTTTTCATCTATCTCATTAATCACCTAATAAGATACATGAAAAAAAATTACGCAACGAAGCCTTATCGCAATGACAAGTAGCTCAAATAACTTTATTTGAAACATTTCAGTAAGTTTTCCTTTTCCCTTTTGGGTATTTCCTATGTTAGAGCAATTAGCAGAGAAAGACTGACAAAGATATTTGCAAAGAAGGTTTTTTGTAAGGAAATTTGCTTCACAATGCACCATAATTTAATGAATGAATAAAGCAGATAAAAGGAAAGGAAAAGTGAGAAAGAAGATACCAATTACAATGCCTACTTGCTCTGAGTGAGCCAATTTACGATTTTTTTTTAAAGCTGTAGCAAACTTTAGAGGAAATCTTTATGCACTTATTTAAATTTTGTTTCTGTCAGCGTATACGCACTACAATGAAATCGTGATTAGAGAGTCTACGTGTTAAAATCCTTTTTTTAGTTAACTAAGCATTTGATGATTAGGAATTTCATATTCAAAAAGCATTTAAAGTTCCATATATGTCTTCAGTCCTAAATACACATATAGCTGTCGATCAGGATTATTTTGAGGCATGATTATTCTCAAGCATTTTAGATGTTCACATGTTTGCCTTTATTTGTTCCCTTGAAAACAACATAAGGAAAAACTTTCTGACCATTAAACTCGCTCTCTCACTTCAAGCTAGCTAATATATTTTTCCTGAAATGTCCATTTCATGGATTAATCAGCATCCATCAAGGCGGTATGTGCGTAAAGCAGCCCAC